ACAAATGTTTGCAAATTTACCGTACGACGCCAGGTCCAGCAGTACCTCAAAATGTATCCCCATCCGAAACTTTTCTCGGTAGGCGCGTCAGAACGGTCCTTGAGGCTCTGAATCCATGGCTACACAAGGGAGAGCGCAATGTTAAAATGGAGTTAGCTTTTAATCGCCATCATGGAACACGACTCCGACATTTCGCGCCGGGTGATAGTGTGTACGCAAATAATTTTCGTGACGCAAGGTCATTCTGGATTCCTGGCCGTGTCGTTAAACTGATTTCAAGTGTTTTGTATAGAATAGAAGTCGATTCCATCATTTAGACTAGACATGTAAACCACATTAAACTCCGTTTTAACGTGCAAGGAACGTTCCAAAAACAGGAAGGTTCACTAACGTTAGACATCTTGCTGGATACGTATCAAATTACCCCGTCTGAAGAGCCTGTCGTCCAAACAGAAAACTTAACTACAGATAGACGATACTCAACGGGAATCAGAACGTCAGTGCAGAGACTCGAGGTGAACCCAAGACGTAAAGCATGCCAATCAAACGTTGCGTGCTATTCTGTTCAGAAGGAGGGTGTTATACGGGCTTACGCTTCACAGTCGCTCAGCTAGGTAGTTTGACATTCGTGACCGTTCACCGTTTTTGTGTAGATTCGTCGCAGTCAGACACAGACAGACAACCACCACCCATCCAGGAAATCGCTAGACGGCCGTTTCGTCCTATTGGGACTCGTCAGTAGCGCGCACCCGCCGAATCCTGCCGGATTCGAACCCACGACCTTACTCTTGCGAGTCAGCGAATTATGTCACTGAGCCATGGGCAACGGTAGCTGACCGCCATGACTGATATCTAACTGCGATATAACGCGGTTCATCCTCCACTGACGAGTCCCAATAGGACGAAACGGCCGTCTAGCGCTTTCCTGGATGGGTGGTGGCTGCCTGTCTGTGTCTAACTGCGACGAACCTACACAAAAACCTAATAAACCCCCATACTACTCACAAACAATCAGCAGTCGCCTTAGCAGCATACTTGTCACCTCGATTGGTGGCGGCTTGCAAAGGAAGTCGTTGCTCTGGGGGCCAGCCCTGTCCTCTGCACACTCATCACATGCAAGACAGTGCAGGATGAGTCGCGCTATATCGCAGTTAGATATCAGTCATGGCGGTCCGCTGCCGTCGCCCATGGCTCAGTGACATAAGTCGCTGACTCGCAAGAGTAAGGTCGTGAGTTCGAATCCGGCAGGCTTCGGCGGGTGCGCGCTACTGACGAGTCCCAATAGTACGAAACGGCCGTCTAACGCTTTTCTGGATGGGTGGTGGCTGTCTGTCTGTGTCTAACTGCGACGAATCTACACAAAAACCTAATAAACCCCCTACTACTTACAAGTGATTCACCGTTTGTTTATGTGAAGCAATGGAGGAATCTCATCGACTCAGAAGGGTGGTTAGTTATGGACTTGAACCTGCAATTTATGTCTAGGAGTTTGGTTTGCTAAACATGCTGTAATTTTTGTCGGGTTGTCTTTGCCGAATAAACGCTTGTCCCCCAAGGACTGAGTTCTGCAACATGGCGTCAGAGAAGACAAAGACGAACTCCACCGGCGGCGCGCGTGGGGTCTATTCAGATGTCTGCCCCACTGTACGTTAATGAACGGAACTTGGGGCGTAATTGGCATCTATGGAAGAGCAAGTGGAAGGATTACTGCACCTTAGTACGTTTGGATGAACAACCAATGGCGTATCGCTTGGCCATTTTTCGTCATGCAGCCGGGGATGATGCGCTCCGTGTGCTTGAGACATAGCACTACGACAAAAGGGAAGATGGCAATAATTTGCAGACGGTCATTGGAAAGTTCGACGAGCCCTACTGGCGCTACTTTCTTTTCGCGCAACAGAGGCTCAAACGAATCAGTCGACGTGTACATCATAGAATTGAAGATTTTGGCCCGATCCTGTAATTTCTGCAAGCCCTTGGGCGACAGTCTTACACGCGATCGGATCGTTCTAGGAATCAATGATGATATTACGACAAAGCGTCTTTTGCAAAAATGCAACTTATCGCTCCAGCAGTGCATTGCCATCTTCAGCAGAGTCCTAGATCAACTATCAAGACCAACAAATGAGGCTAGCAACATATGCAGAATTGTGTGACGTTTCCGAGGACGAAACAGCGAAATCTAATAACATGAGACAGGAGATCTGCAAATTTTGTGCCACGTGACATCCGAGCATCCGCGAGCAGTGTCCGGCGTGGGGACGGAAATTCACCAGATGTGGAAAAAAGATTTTGCTCGTTGCTGCCAATCAACCAATGTGAGTGCGGTCGTTCGTGACTAGTCCCCCTCAGATGCAGAACCTTCAATTGGCAACGTGTCTCGGTGGGTACCGCAAAAATGCGTCTACGTAAGTCTTTTGATCGAAGGCAAAGCCGTACCATTCCATTTAGACGTTTGGGCTACTGTCAACATTCTACTAAGGAAGCACTGTCCCGGAGTGTGCATTCGATCCGATCAAGATTGCCTGCGTATCTGGAATGGTTCCAGACTTTATCCGACGGGCTCAGCTATAATCGAAATGGTTAACCCAAGAGACGGAGCTTCACATCGACCGGAGTTTGTGTTCGTGGAGGAGGAGCTCACCTTGATTCCCGGCATTGATTCGAGCGAGTTCATCGGTTTTCTTGTTTTTAATCACGTTCGTTTTGTGTATGTTTGCCAAGGGGAAACCAATATATGTGGCCAGTATCCGTCTGTGTTTAACCTAGGTTTGGAAAAGTTAGATCCTTTGTTACGTCCGACAGTGTTGCCAGCTAGGAGAGTCCCATTTGGACTGCGTGACAGGTTCTCCGCTGAATTGAGCAAATTAGTGAGTGTGTGATTACCAAGGTCGACCATTCAACCGACTGGGTAATTCAGGTCGCAATCATTAAGAAAAAGATGTGCGAACCACGTGTGTGTATTGACACAAAACCGTTGAATGAAGCCTTGCGTAGAGAACGTTACGCGCTATCTAACTTAAAAGATATATCGTCGCGTTTGGCCATAGCTATGTGTTTCACTACAAGCTCATGTATCGAATTTTGAGGCGTGCCATTCTTACGAAATCCGGCAGACAAGGGAACCAATGATGCTACATGATGTCCCTGACCGACTGTGGCAGAAGGTGGTGCTGCATTTATTCAGTGATGAAGGGAAGATTACTTACTCACGATGGATTACTATAGCAATCATTTTGTAATCGATCTACTCACCATTCCGGCCACAGACGCAGTAATTAACAAGCTCAGATGTCAATTCGCGCGACACGGTATACCGGAGGAGCTGGTCTCCGACAATGGGCCCCAGTTTACCAGCGGGGCTTTCCAGGCGTTCGCAACCGAGTGGGAATTCATGCACCAGCAAGCCAGCCGATATCACAGTCAATCGAATGGAAACGCGGAGTCCGCAGTGAAGCAGGCCAAGCTACTATTATCAAAGGCTGGATCAACTGGCGAGGACCAGTACCTCATGATAGTGGCGAGTCGCAACACTCCTGTAATGAATATCGGTTTGAGCACAGTGCAGTGCCTATACAGCCGAAGGACTGGAACTCTGATACCGACACTTGCCACACTTTTGCGCCCAGTTTCGCCACAGCACGAACGATTACAAAACAATGTGAGACGACGAATGACCAGTCAGAAACGGTACTATGACCACGGTGCACGGGCACTACCTGAGCTAACAGTGTGGGAGGAAGTGTGAGTTCAACCATTACCCGATAGTCAAGAGCGATGGAGGAAAGGTGTGGTGACTACGAGGGTCGGTGCCAGGTCATACGAAATAAACGTTGGAGGGAAAACGTTCAGAAGAAATCGAGTACATTTGAGAAGAAACCGGAGACAACAATGTGGATTGGGATTGGAGTGGCCGATGGTGTGGGGCAGGCAGGCCACTGCCTGCCGCAGTTACAGCGAAGACGACGCCGAATGGCAAGTTGTACGGGGTGGAAAGCCATATGGAGGGGCAAGCACAAGAAAAATGGGAGGATATGATGTTAGTGTCAGATCAGAGTGAGCGGATGGACAAACCGAGCGAGCCAGACAGCCAATGGAAGACGGGCGTGAGGGATTCGAATACTGGACTTGGATTGGCCGATAGTCGTGTGCGTGATTCACCGTTTGCTTAACTGAAGCAAAGGAGGAACCTCATCGACTCAGAAGGGTGGTTAGTTATGGATTTGAACCTGCAGTTTATGTCGTGGAGTTTGGTTTGCTAAACATGCCGTCATTTTCGCTGAGCTGTCCTTGCCGAATAAGCGCTTGTCCCCCAAGGACTGAGTTCTGTAACACTGCCCAGGATTTTTCCTTAAGTCAACGATTTTACTGTCAAGTCATGTTTGCCAAGCTCAATCCCCTGTTGAACAGCCACCCATTTAAATGCTTATCCGTTTTCCACGGTCACCCTGCTCCTTCTACTTAAGCTGTTCTGCGTCACCTGTGAATGGTGTGGAAGCCTCACTCAAGAAGTAGACGGTTGATGCACTTTGTTAAACAGCTACATTTTCTCAGCCAACTACTTGGTACCACAACTCTTTACTGCCTGCACTATCTCCTGTTGGTCACATTTCTAAAGTGGTCACGACCAATTCCTTCTATATCGTCTGGGCCTCCTTTAAACCTTTGTCTTTTCATACACTGATGAACAAGCGTCCGGTGATATTTTTCAGCACAACAGCAACCCCATGCGACTGGAGTCCAGGTGCTAATTTGGGGTATCTTGTCTTAGAGAGTAAGTACCTAACTGTTGCAATACGGACGGACTCAACGAATCATGTGCTGTTTGGCCACACCTGTCATGGTCAACTAACATGACAATACGGAACCAAATAAGTTTTATACAAATGTGTTCGGATGGATGAACTGAATTCTAATAACCGAATACATCGTCCCGATTACTTATAGTGAGGATTATTAAATCGTCTCACTCACCCCTATTTGTCCTCGTTACCTTTCAGACAACTGGAAACGTTTTGGCCAAATCCAACGCTAGTCGAAGCGATACGAATGAGCTTGAACTGGTCATTCCATCCTTTACACCATTGAAGCACGGTGAGATGCTTGAATGTGAGGCCCGAAGCGGCTTTCCGGGGGATAGCAACTTGGCCGTCGGAAAAACCAGAGTAGAATTTGCCTGTAGGTTCCACTTTTTACAAGCACGATGATGTTTGCACAACTGAAATCAGCATGTTAGTTCCTGATAGTTGTGGTTCTTCCGCTTCAGATGAAACAGTGTTTGTTTTAAGTAGCCATTGTCTATAACTTGGTGGTTTATTTGCATGTTCCTCTGTATGTGCCTCGTTGGCAATAAAAGCTTAGGCTCGTAACCTATGCTGTTCTCTGTGGTGTATGTTACTGCATACTCCACCTTATCCTGAATAGAGACATATTTGTGCTCATACATGTTCTAGACCGAGTTGCAATGCCTAATTAACTGCAGTATTCTATCAAATCAAGGAACTCAGCAACAGAAATTTCTTCCCACGTTATGTCGAGTCGGCATACTTTATCGGTTTTCCATTTCGGCATCCGCTAGAAATCGTGATCGGGCGAATTGGCGACCACTTTTTATGCGCTCATTTCTTATCATGTATTCGAAACAAAAGGAGTAAACTGAGGTCGTGTATCCGCCTTGCGTTGCAAAGGGAAGCATTGGACGATTTCGTGTAACGAAATGAGATCACACGCTGGTGCTTGCGTATTGAGTCGTAAAGAACTCAGAGAATTATTTGCACTGAACCCGATAAATACTAATGAAAGCACATTCTACGGAGTGCACTGCGGTTGAAACCAGCGCGGATGATTCACTGCAACCGAAATCGGATAAGTGGAACGAAAAGTTAGATCGTTTCGAACAATTTCATGATATTCTGTTCAGGGTGCAACAACGCGATAAATGCAGTTCAAAGTATGCGCAGAAAGCAGCTTTCGTGTGGGCATAAGGCGAAACTACTTAGATGTTTCACGTCAATGAGTACACAATACATAAGCTGGACCACAGAAGAAGTGAAAACTGTTCGACAAACCTGGCTCTTTTAATTGAGGCAATGCTATGAGGCAGTAGAAAGTCGCACGAATTTCGGTATGGACCTTACCACAGCCGTTTCTTTTTTAATAATGGGAAGAGGGTCCATAGGTTTAAGAAGTTCAGCGGTAGTCCATTGAATCTCGGGAATCAGGTCCTCGTACGTGCACCACACTTTCGTTTCAGAAATAGATAAATCGAACGGGTTTCATCTACCGATTACAAGGACCTGGTATCCACGTGATCGTAGCTCTACACCCTCCAATCAGTCTCGAAACTTTGCTTGCACCTTTCAATCAAAGAGACTCAGCTGGGAGTCCAACTTGATACGCTATTGTAGCCGAAATAAGACTTGTTACTAAGACGTATCGTTCACAAACAACTCTTAACAGCGATTAGGGACTCATTTCTTAGTCCTGTATAACCAGCGATTTACATAGGCTAAGACGTAAGATCTTACGTTGGCGTACATTTGTCTGTCGGCTATCGGATCCCAGCTGGTTACGCATTACTGTATTTGAAGCCACTTCGGTTTCTGTCCTAACGATCGGAATTACAAACGACTACAAAATTGAACGAGGTACAACTAGAGCTGATGTGTCACAGACCGTCATGTAGCGGATAGCCAGTAAGCTGGAAATTAATCGTTCACTTTTCTAACAGGAGTCCGTAGTGCCGCGCTACTAGGCACACTTTCAACATTATTCTTCACAACGCTTGGTGAAACATGATGTTTTCAAGGTTGTTTAGCAAATGCTGCAGAGATCAATTGATTGTGAATTTTCGTGACTTACCACGCGAGTATCTGTTCACCTGGTTACAATATATTTGAAATTTTGCTCCTTTAAATGTACTAGAATTTAACTAAAATAGGTGGAAAGTTAAAGGCTTAAGTTCCTTGCCGCTTAGCCGATGTAAGAGCAGTGGCCTTTATTCCAAACAGTACACAAGCTGTTAGCAACTGAAAGCAAGACGCTACCATCACTACTCACATTATTGCTCCCATCGTTGTTCGTGGTTGTTGGTTGAAGCAACACGGCGTCATGTACTATTACTCTCCACCTCTTGCATAATCCCTTCCGTTTATGCCTTTGGCTCAGCTTTCCATTTTCAGTCATTGTATTTCCACTCGTTTTCCTCATGTGGTTTCTCAAATCGAGAGATTTTCCACCTGAATCCTCAGTCTCCAATCACAAATCGATCATAACGATCGATAGCATGCATGGATTTGTGTCTCATTCCCCTAGCTCAGATGTTTGCATAGCTTGGCTGTGTCGTCAGCTCACGCATCTTAGCGCAAGCCTGTCGTTAGTAGGGAGCGTGAATGGGAGAATATACTCTTGGCTATCGATCTCTATTAGAACTTTAGAAGAGGAGATGTCTAAATAGGCGTAAAAATGAAGGTCACCTCAGCTCCAATCTCCACTATGACTAAATGGTTTTTTGGTACATACACAGTGGTGATTTATCACCATTAACTGCCGACGCAGAAATACCGTTTATCCGTTGACAACTTCACTGTAGCAAGAACAGGCTAGTGGGTTTGTACCATAGGAGAAGTGTTAACACCAACAACAGTCGGTTGTCCACTCTCAAAAAGGACATCCTGAAGTGAAAACGGTACTACATTGTGTGCAATTGGGTTAAAACAAAACTGAAAATTTCCCAGGGATATTAATCATTGTAATCCAATTATATGCATCGAAGTGAGGAACTGGGGAATCTTCGCTGCGTCGTTTGGTTGTTATGCGGCAACTTCTGTTATGCACCGAAAAGATCAATCTGCTGAGTCACGCGTGATCGTACCGAAACTAACTCGCACGGATGCATTTGCACCGTAAAATTGTTCGGTTTGCTTCAATCAATGAACCAGTCAGGCGACCTTGGGGCTATATTGTCTAAGGGGAGGGTTAAATACTTTACGTTTCAGTGAATCCCAACAGTCTATAAAACACATCTTACGTATGCATTTCCACCTACACCATGTGTACAAATGTACGCATGTACAAAAGTTTATTTTCGAATAGTGTGTACAGATGTACACATACCGTCATTTTCATAAGTGACAATGAACGTCCAACTTCTTTCCCTCACTATGTTAAGAAATCCAGTACATCACTGGTTTTGTCCCGCCTAAGTAGGCTGGAAGGTTTGAAGATCCATCTTCGTCCAGACCTGGACCCACTAGACCGGCAACGGCTCAAATCTGCCATCATTGGGCTGAAAACACATACTGGTGAGGGGGAAACAAATCTCCGTATCGTAAATTTTCGGGTGGTTTCCAGCAATCTGCGAATCAGAATGAACAGGTCGCTCACATTTCAAGCACGCCCGGTGTTTCCTGCTGCGGCCTGTGAGTAGCCTTTACCAAGGTTTGTAGTACTATGAACAAGCGGGGTGAGTTTCGTTGTTTCGTTGCGTCTGAGCGGCCAGAAATAGTGGAACTCGCAGAGACATAGCTGCATTCAGTGTTATACACACAGGAACTTGAACTCCGCGGTTACTTGTGCTTCCGATGCGATAGACTAACGAATGCCCGTGGTGGGGTCTAGCTCTACATCCGGTCTTCGCTGAGTGGGAGACTTGTGAACACCTACCAAGGTGACGATGGTTCGTATGAGTTACTGTGGTGCTCCATCCACCTCAGGCGCAGAGAACTACTTGTGGGCGCAGTCTATCGCACCCCCCTGAGTCGTTGTTTGGGTTGACTGCCCCATCTTCGAACCCACATTACTCGTCCGTATATTTTACTTAGGGGTGATTTTAACTGTCCTCGAATACGATGGCCTGATGTGCATTTGATGCCTGGACATAGTGCGGTTGAAGCAAAGTTCGTGGATTTGGTACTTGAAACTGGTGCATCGCAACACAAATGCCAGCCAACATGCATAACACCACGCTCAACCGCGTCACGTCTCGACCTGATGTTAACGAGCTACGAACAACGAGTACGTAACGTTCGGATCCTGGAGCTCCTGGCTACAGGCGACCACTCAGTGATCATAGCTGATATGGAATTACCTTTGCCGTATTCACATCCGCTGGAACCAGCTTACAGCTACTGGAAAACGAACTTTCGAAGGTCTAGTTCGAGCCGCGAACCAACTGGATTGGTCTCTGTCACAAGCTGCATCTCTGGAACACTGTTGGACATTTATAAAAGATAGATTGACGTCATTGTGTTCCGAATTTGTGCCCTTGAAATGTCGGAAGTTTGGACCAAGTAAGCTCCATTGATTTGACAAGGAGTATGAAAATCTGGCTCGAAGGCGACGCAGGCTATGGGACATATTCCTCCTCTCTGGCTCTGCCAATGACTACTTAGGGTATAAACGTCAGTAGCACCTCTGCAACAGTGTAAAAAGGAATAAGCGCCGACATTTCGAAGAGCAACTCGCAGTCGCCGCGAAGACCGCCCCAAAGAGAATCTTTGCTTACGTGAAGCGACGCCTGAAGCCCGCAGATGATTTACCAATGCTGGTTGGCCCGGATGGACAGCCCCTAACCTCCAGCACTGAGTGTGAATCTGCATTGGCAGCGCACTTCGCTTCTGTATTTGCAAATGACCAGGTGACTGTTCCGAGTTCGATGTGTACCGCTTTTACCGAAATTGACATTCTGGATTGCTGCGTTGAAGACGTATGTCAACTACTCGCTAGCCTTGACGGCACCAAACCTGCCGGACCTGATGGGCTTCACCCACTGGTTCTCAAGTCACTTTCAACCATCCTCTCTCCTGTCGTGACTGACCTTTTCAACAGGTCGCTCTCCGAAGGTTCGTTGCCGGTTGACTGGAAATGTGCGGTGGTGAAGCCCATTCCGAAAGGCGCTAACCTTAGTAAAGTAGACAACTACAGGCCAATTTGTCTGACACTTATTTTTGCAAGGGTTGTTGAGAAAATCGTGAAGAAGGGATTGCTGCAGTTGCTACAGTCAAAAGAGGTCCTGATGCACGCACTGCACGGTTTTATGCAGGGCCGCCCATGCATTACAAACTTGCCTGTGATGTGGCATTGGTGGTTGAAGGCAATAAACAAGGGGAAGTCTGTCGACGTGATATTCATCTATTTCAGTAAAGCGGTCGACAAGGTCAGTCATAAGGTCCCCGCTC